AGGCATTTCAGAGCACTAAGGAAGTAGGGAATGAAAACAGAAGAAAAAGAAGCAGACACTAATCAATAAGACACCTGGGACTTAACCTTTTTCGGTGGATTAAGTGCCTCAGAATTGTCTCACTGAGGGGAGAGGAAAATGCAATATTTATGCGCCAAATCCCATTAGGTTTGGTTGGGGGCTCTTAGTCGGCTCCCATCACTACAACAAATGCCTGACATAGTCAAATTGCATGGAGAAAAAGTTTGCTTTGGCTCACAATTTTGTAAGTTCTGTCCTGTGATCAATTGACCCATTGCTTTTGGCCCTGTGGTGAGGTAGAGTATCATAAATGGAAGCATGTGGTGGCATAAAGACCTTCACATCGTGGCCTAAATGAAAAGATGGAGGAGGCATGGGCCTCTTGCTGGCACAAGAGACTAGAGGAGGGAGGGGTGAGGCTGTGGGACAGCCATGCTCTCTGGGGGCTTCATTCCACCCCCATCCTTGCCAAATAAGGCACAGTACTTAATCCTACTGTCTTCATTGACCAGGAAACTGGCTTCATGAAGTAGATGATGAGAATACCAGGGCCATGGCAATGTTGGGAACAAAGGGGACACAACAGAACAAGGTGATATGGAGTTATCAGCTGGCTGGAAGTCCAGCACCCAGAGGAATCCTTTGGCTATGAATTCCTCAATGGAGAAAGAGGAGAGCCAGAGAAATACAACAGCCTTTGTATCTGTGAGGTCATAGCTTAAAGCCATGTACCTTCTACAACTAGAATGTAATCTGAAAGAGGGATGGCCTTTTCAAATGTGCAGATACTAACACAAGACTGTGAGGAAACATTACACACCATAGTTCTTAAATTCTAATGGTTTAGCAGTTCTTTATTCTAACAGAACTAACGGTTCTTAAATTCTATGTGCCTGCCAACTCAATACTGTGTACCTGCTGCCAAGATTTACTGCTTGTCCCTTCTGAATTAAGCCATACTTGATGCCAGTTGGGCCACCAGCTGGGCTGCCACGGAGGACCTTGATGGAATACGGGGAGCAGACATTGCAAGTGGTGCTGGGTAGCAAGCCTTCTTTGCTCTTAGGTTCTCATATCCGGAGCCTGTAACAGGAGGGCCAGCCTCTAAGCTCTCTGAAATGCTTTCAGGACTCTATCTCCTATTGTGTAAGTGAACAGAACCTGGATTTCTTCTATTCATACCAATCTTTTCATCAAATAATCATAGTCTTCCTTTCTCTCTTTTCATAGCCAACCTGTGAAACTTCCAAATCTTTCACTTGTGCTCCCTTTTGCATTATAAATTCTACCTTTAAGTAATTTCTTCCCTTTTGCATCTTACTGTTAGTTTTTTTTTAAAAAAAAAGAACAGCCACGCATATTCTTAAATACATTGATACTTAAATATTTCTTTTGCAGATATCATAGTTTGTCACTCATATTTCATCCTGCAAAGTCCTAGGACATAGACAAAGTTTGGATTGTTTGTAACTGTATAACAGGGTGGCCTCTCCTCTAGTTTCCAGTATTGTTCCTCACTATCAATTGCGCTCTCATCAGAGTGGCCTAACATTTTTTCTGTGAACATTCTGATCCTGGCTATTTAAGAAGTTTTCCCTAGTCTTTTCTTATTCGGAGCCCTCGCCTGAATTAACCTTAATGGTATTTATAGCTCACTCCCCATAATTCTTCTAGCCTTACCTATTACCTAGCTCCAAAACTGCTTCTACATTTTAAGTTATTTGTTATAGCAACAACTCCACTCCTGGTACCAACTTTTTGTCTTACTGTGTTTTGCACTGCTATAGCAAATACAACCTGGGCCTGAAAACTCGGCCACTTCTGTCCATAGAACTGCGCTGATCCGGGTCCAGAGGTAACTGCTGTGTCCCAGTTGTGGAGGAGGCTGCACCTCCTTGAGAAGAGGACGAATAAAGACCTCACCTGCCCTGGAAGGTGAGGGAGCTCTGGCTAAGGACGGATGGAAAGGCTGGCCGGCCATGGACAGTTGCCAAAGAGAGAAACGTACCATTCCGTGGGCTGATTGGAAATACCAGCCACCCTTTGGGGAGATTTACTGGCCGTTTTCAGAAGGCCTGCGTACATAATATGAAAAAGCTGCTCACAACATTGCCCCAACCTTTTAAAAGAAAATTTGCTGCATGTGAACAATATAGATGTAAAGAAGTTGCCGATACATAATAAAGCAGTTAGGAAAACCACACGTCTAGGAAACGCCCATTTGCTTAAAAGACAGAAAAGAAACGTTTTCTGGAAGTGACATTGAAATAAAGTTGGATCGACCACCTGGAGAAGCCACACTCGTGATACCCGTCCACGTTTGTTCTGTGGGTTAGAGGACACGGAGCAGGAGACGGAAGAGAAGAACGTCCGGCGCCAGACCGGTTACATGTAGAAGACTGTGCTTGTATCCCAATCGTTGTTTTCTGTGTGCATTTTAGTCCTCGTTACCATACGATTGACAATGCTAATTACTTTATTGAACCATCTGGTCTTCTGAGACAATTCTCAAGTGCCTGATACATGTGAAAAAGTAGAAGTAGTAAAATAACACATTTTGTAAATGTATTTTTGTTAGCACTCACATGAAGTATTATTTTGTGGGGGGAATAGGCAGACCCCCTCTTGAGCAGTACACATTGTTCATGCACTGGTTCTGGGAAGAGGAGGAAATGCGGAGTGCTGTGCTAGTGCACTTATAGCGAGGCAAGTTACTATGGTCCCTTACCTCTGTGCGTTGTCACTTTGCTGTGTACGTAGGGTATGTAAAGGATGAGACCTTATACTTCATCTAGCCTTCCTAGATGTTAAAGAGGTTTCCGGTTTTGATAAAGGTACAGTTAGTAAACTAACACATTTTGTACATTTTATATTAAAATTCCAGGAAAGATTGTTTTCTGAAAATTTGAGCATTTTAGCCTACTGGGTTAGTGGAGAAAGGAAAGGTTCAAGACTAAAACGCTCATATTTTCAAGACATTTTCAATCATTGTTACATGAGTATAGTTTAATCAAGATTGCTGTGTATATATAACGAACAAATTCAGTCTTTCCTTGAAACATCTAGTCTTATCTGGATGTTTAGAAGTGCCCAATGTATGTTAGATGTAGAGGTAGTAAAATATCACTCTGTAAATATCTTTTTATTAAAGTTCGTATGAAATGTCGGTGGGAATGGAATGGTGAAACCACCACTTGAGCAATATGGTGCTGACTGTACTTGTTCACTGGTTTGGAGGAGGTGGGAGGGAAGCAACTGCAAAGGTACTAGGTTAGTGCATTTGTACTTGGATATTTTGAGACATAGTTTTTCTGTATGTTAGAGGTTTTGTTTTGCTGTGTATATAGTGTGTATAACAGACAAGTCCAAATTTTGCAACATCTATCCCTAAATATTAAAGAGATTGCCAGTATATGACAAAGTAGTAAAGTGAGCACATTTTGTACACTTTGTGTTGAAATACACAGAAAAGCTTGTCCTCTGTAAATGCATTTTGGATTCAGTCATCTCTAACATTACAAATCCCTGTGCTTGTCCACTGCGTTGAGGGCAGAGAGAAAGAAGTGAGTCCAAAATTGTCATACGTAGAAGATACCTCAGATTATAACCATTACTCTTTGTGCAATTTTATTTATCAGTGCTGTACAATAGCAGACAAGTTCTTATATGAAAAATCTAGCCTAGATATGTACAAGTGCTTGATATATTTAAAAGTAGAAGTAACAGAATAACACTTTGTAAATAGCTTTTATAAACTAATAGGAAATACTGTGTTTGCAAATAGAATGGTTAAACTACCTCTGAAAAGTATACTGTCTATACTTGGTCACTGGGTTGAAGGAGGTGGGACAAAAGAATTTATGAAAGGTGTTTTGCTAAGTACGTGGTAGAAAATTTCAGCTGACATTACTCTTATTTTAGATGCATTTCACTTAACTTTGCTATACGTATGTATAGTGTATATACTGGACATATGAGTCCTAATAACCTATTAAAGAGGTTGCCAATGTATAACAAAAATGCAGTTAGTAAACTATCACATTTTGTATACTTTGTGCTAAAATTCATAAAAGGCTGTCTTCTGAAAAGGATTTCTGGAAGTGTAATTGTAAAGTCACATTTGAGTGACACATGTGCCTCAATCACCTATGACAAGGAAGTAAGAAATGGTAAGAAATGATTCTAGGCCAGAATGCTCCTATGTAGAAGACACTTTCAGATATAAGCATTGTTACATGTGGGTAGTTTATTCAACAGTCTATGTATATAGTGGACAAACTTGAGTCCATATTTGAAACATCTAGTCTTTCTAGATGTTTAGAAGTGCACAAAGTATGTTAAAAGTAGAGGTAGTAAGCAACACATTTTGTAGATATCCTTTTGTTAAAATTAATACCATTGATCTGAACAGTAGACATATTTGTGCTAGAGAGGGAGAAGGAAAAGAAAATACAAAGGGCTCTAAATCGATGTGGCTTAGGTGAAGTGCGGTTGACCACTGCCCATTATGTCTGTGCATTTTGTTTTACTTTCCTGTGTATATAGTTGTATATAAAGGACAAAGGAGTCCTAGTGATTGTAACTTTGCCAATACTTCTATCTAAAGACCTGTTGCCACTTTTATCTTATCTTCAGAGAAATTGTTGTTCCAAAGAAAGTCGGGACTACAATTTTTTTCTAACACATTGAGTGGGTGTAGTGTGTTCTTAGCTATCAAAAATACTCTCGTAGCTTTGGGATTTTGAACTGATGAACATTCATGATGTGAAGAAAAGCATGACACACACTGTACAAACTCTATCACAAAATGGCTGTCGTATATATACACGCAGGACCTAGAAGAACACATCCAGCTAAGCTGCTTATGATTGAGAATCGCTTTGTTCTTTGCTTCTTGTGTTTTTGTTTCCTGTAATACTTATATTAACTTTAAAAAAATAAAAATTATTTTTAAAACTCAAAAGTGGGAATATGCTAGGAATTGCCTTTATTTAATGGTGAACGCTTGTGGTCCTGCAACATAATAGATCTCCAAAACTTTCTGTAAGTGAGTATTTAAGACACGTACAATAACATTTCTACAGCTGGGGCAATACATAGGAAATTCCTTTAAGATTTGGGGTTATTTTCTGAAATTGTAAAATTTTGCTCTGTTTCAGGTGAAGTTTAACCTTGAGCCCTCCTGTCTGAACTGAAGTTTAATCACTGTGTTTTTTTCTAGGGTGAAGTTTCAACATTGTTCTCTGGTTTATTAGTTGCTTTTTTGTTCTTCCATAAAAATCCTAACAAGCAGGGAAACAAAGCAATTAAAAAAATTAAAAACAATAAAAACCAGTAATTCTTGCGCTTCTTGGGAGGATGGATAGGAGGTGGAACAGGAGGCGGACCGCTATCAACACTACCTCCGTAGCCTACTATTGTGCAGTTAGGTGGGTCCCACCCATAATCACAATGGCAATGATTTTTATTGTTGCAGATCCCTGACATATTGCAGGTCTCAACTGAACAATCACTTGTCCAAAGTGGCATAGGAACACACCTCCTGTTGATGCACATAGTTTTGTTACCACACTCTGTGCCGTCTTTCACATCACCCATATCAGGCATGGTCATCCCAACATGGTAATCAGTACCCCAGCAGATACTATCTCTGACTTGAACACAGTGTACAGTTCTATGATTACTCAAAGAGGGAATCTCTGTCACATTCTCACACTGAACTCTCCCACAGAGAATATCATTGGCCTTACATCTCACATATGAACCACTGCTAATGCCACAATTACCAAAACGGTCACCTCGGTTGTTTATTTCCCTGTAACAAGTCTGATTTGCACTCCTGGAATCCTTTCCAAAAATTTGCCTGCACTGTTCATCACGGCTGATACACTGTTTTTCATAGCAGTGGCCATTGCCTGTGCAAGGCATTCCATTCAGCACATACACATCTTTTGGACATTCGTGTGAAGTTCCATTGCACCACTCAGGAAGATCACATTCATCATTCTTTTCTCGACACACACTGCCTGATGGCATAAACGTGCAATTTTTGCAACAAAGCCCAAAAGCACATTGAGCTCCAAATATTAGAGTGCAGTTTGTCAAACAACATGGATCTTCTGTACACAACTGTAAGGATCCACAGTCACACTCCTCTCCTTCTTCCACCACACCATTCCCACAGAACATCCGTTGTGGTGACAGCGGAGTTAAGTTCACTGCTACTGGTACATTGTGCATACACTTCGATGATTTAGTGGTTGACCAGACAACACTATAACTGCAATTGCTGAATTTGTTGGAATTATTGTCAGCTTCAGCCATGATACATGCTCTGCCCTCACATTTACATGGTTGGACTTGTTCATCATGCTTCATACCCAAATTATGTCCTATCTCATGGGCCAGAGTATGTGCGATGGACTTCAGACTCCTTCCCACAACACTGTCAACTCCACAGTTATAATGGCTGTTACACATAACTCCCACATAAGCTAAGCCCAGAAACCCACCATAATATTGGTGTGAAAGAAGATGTCCAATATCATTTTTTACGCGCATGTTAAAGTTCTGTGTCTTCCACTTGCGAAATTCCTCCAGGACCGTAACCATGTTGTTATCTACTGTCACAAGGTCATCCTGATCCCAGATGTCAAGTCCAGTTAGAACCCCGTCAACATCCAGTCCATTTAAAAGAAGATTCATTTCATTCAGTATGTTTAAAACATCTTTTATCACATTTGAGTTGTTTCTTTCTAGAAAAACATATCGTCTATGGTCTACCACCAATCCCAGATCAATAAACATTCGGTGCGTCCACCAGCCCTCATATCCACTTTGCATCAGAATGGAATCATCACTCATTTGAAGTTTCAACTGCCGCGCTATTTCTTCATCTGATAATCCACATCTCATGCGTGGGGATTGTGTCTCCTCACTGGCCATTCTATAAACCAAATGTTCAAATGTGACAGAAGGGCTTTTGGGCTTGATTTCATAAGCAATGCCATTTATCTGTAGTGTCCCATGAAAGCTCCCAGAACAGGTGTTAAGAGCAACCAGGGATTCTGGGTCACTTTCCACGTACCCATGATAGTAGCAGTCATCTGGGACAAAAGGATGATCCTCAAGAAGGTCACCCTGGTCAGCATAAGTGAACACAGGGAGGTGTTTGGACACCAAGAGCTTCTTGGCCTTCATGTGGATGATGTGTCTCTGACCTCCAAAGTGCAGGCTGTAGGAGAGCCAGCCTGGAGTACTCATGCCTCTACCAGTGCTAGTGACCCTCAAAGGAATCACGACTTCAGGGGGGCTGGAGTATTGGGAGTGTCCAGTCTGGAGCCATCCAGAAAGGAAGAGAAATACGCCCAGCCAGAGCCACAGGAGAGTGATCCTCACATGCTCCAGGGCCTCACCCACAGCCATCATGAGTTATGAGTAAGAGGAGGAGTGGGGGAGGGCCGAAGCCCTGCTGGCCTGTCTTCCCCTTTGACTAGGTTGCATGCAGCACTGGCCTTTTATGGTCTGCCTTTTGGAAGAGTCAATCCATCAAAGCAGCAGAACTGAAAGAAAAATAAATACATAAATATGTACATGTACACATACATACATTCATGCATATATGAGTGCATACAAAGGCAGAGACAGGTATTTTGTTACCAGAAGACCAGGATGGAGGAGAAAGAGCAGGACTCAGGATTAGTGTTTTGCTCAAGACATGACTCCATGCAGTGTAGTAGATTTGCTCTTTAGTGTTAGTAGAGGAAGAGCAGACTGTGGGTGTACAGATAGGTCACAACTGGCCACAGGTTGATAACTACTGAACCCAGAAGAAGAGCTCAGAGGTTCACTGTACTGTTCATTATGTACATGTACTTGTGTGAACAACTCCACAAAACAAAGGTGAGCATGTATCTTGATTTGAAAAGGAGGCTATGTATCTTGATTTGATAAGGGAATCTTGATTTATATGTATTGATTTAAAATAAATATAAAAATAAAATAAATATAAATATAAATTGTTCTTCCTTTCTATTTCAAATGATAAAGTAGTCACATTACTCAGTAGAGATATGTAAGAAATTATTCATATGTACTATTTTTTTCTCATGGTGTTTCATATGTACTTTTGTGCTGCAAATCATTTCTTGTCCTATATCCCCCAGTCGTGTCAAAAATCTGATGCATCAACTGTGCTTTAAAAGTATTAGAATCTAGCCAGGCATGGTGGTGCACACCCATAATCCCAGCACTCGGGAGGCTGAGGCAGGAGAATCTCTGTGAGTTCAAGACCTGCCTGGGCTACATAGTGAGTTCCAGGGCAGTCTCAACTACATAGTGAGACCCTGTCTCAACCCCCACCCCAAGAAAGTATTAGAATCTAGCCAGGCATGGTGGTGCACACCCGTAATCCCAGCACTCGGGAGGCTGAGGCAGGAGAATCTCTGTGAGTTCAAGACCTGCCTGGGCTACATAGTGAGTTCCAGGGCAGTCTCAACTACATAGTGAGACCCTGTCTCAACCCCCACCCCAAGAAAGTATTAGAATCTGTATTGGATATCTTTGTTCAGTAAAATGATAAACAATGGTAGGATTCCATGAAGAAACTTGGGTTGGCTGGTGGATACCACTCAGAGGTGTTTATATTTGATTATACTCAAAAGAAAAATAACATTATATCCAGTGCTATGGCCATGCCTGTAATCACATCTGCTCAGGAGGATAAGGCAAAAGTTTTGGGAGATTGAGGCCAACCTGGGCAACTTAATGAGATCTTGTCTTAAACTAAAGTAAAAGGGGCTGGAAATGTAGCTCAAAGATAGAATGTTTGTTTAACCTAAGCCAGACCCTGGGGTCAGTCCCCAGGACTGCAAAAACAAATGAATTAACAAATTAGAGAATAAATAAATAAACATATTTCAAAGTCTCTGGACATATAAAATGAATAAGAAATCAAATTAGCTGAAAAAGTAGCAGAGATAGAAAATTCTGAAGGAAACTAAAGTACATTCAATAATGAAAAGGAAATCAATGAACCTTAAAAGGAAGAGGGATAATATTAAGAAAGATAATGTACTGGGTGACAGGTATAATAAAGTCTCTGACATTTTACGATTATAAGGCACTAGCCCCTAAAATCAACCTTCAAATGGATTTATCGCTGAAATAAAAACATACATATCTCATATGAAAATACAAATATGAGACATTATCTTAATAATCCAAATATATGTACTCTATTTTAAAAATGAGAAATCTGTTGCCAGCATTGCGCCAAACTCACAGTGCTCATTTGTTGCTTTGTTCTTGAGTAAAATATTAATGAAACTACATAATCATGCAGATTCTATGCTACATTCTGGAGAAACATAAATGGAAAACATAGGTCTAAATAAGTTAATAATCTGGAACACTTTGGGGTGAAAACATACTTTAGGAATCTGTAAAATTGCACTTAATATTTTACATATAAATGCCTAGTTTTTGCTGACCTAGTGAAAGTATCTTCAGTGTTCACAAAATCATTCAAATCCCCAACGCAATGAAATTAAGCACTGCTAGAGGAGTTGAGGGTGGGAAAGTAAATCTATGATGCTGAACCAGTGCCACGTGTAGGGAGTACAAAACTGAAAGATTCCAGATTCAGCGGCCATCATCTCCTGGATCCAGTATCCATTTCTCTTGAAGTCTTCCATTTATCTTAATTTTAAGTTCTTTCATCTTTTCTTTCTACAATTATTTTCCAGTCACTTATGAAATCTTCCTTTCATAGAGAACAACTACGATCTCTCCCCTATTGACACTTCCTTATGGAGAATTCCCATTTCCCACTTAATTTTATGAAAGTGTGTATCTCAACAATGTGAATCCCAGACATTTTTAATTCTCAGAATTTTCATCTCTGGAATATTTGATCACAATTTGCTTTGATTGCCAAAGCCACTCTGAAACTACATTTTATTTACATTTCTTATTCTTTTCAAACTCTCAATTCATCTTGCATGAACCCCAAAGAATACGATGTCTACTACTTTCTTCTCTTCCCGTAATTTTATCCATACTCTCACTGTGTTTGGAAAACATGTGAACACTCCATACAGCATCAGATGTTTGCTTTTTATTGTTACCACTCACCTTTAATGACCATTAATCATCACCCATTAGCCATGTCCTATATCATATTATCACCTTTGGCAACTCATGTAAGAACGTGTTAACCACAATTTTAATTTATTATTAAGATGATTCTTCAATTCATAGAGGACTCACAAAATTCTTCTTTTCATGTTTTCCTGCTTCCAAGTTCTCATCACCATGCCTGCCATCCTTATAGCTAGCTCTAGATTCTACCAGTTCAACCGCTGTGGCCCCAGACGCTCCACCCAATCTAGATTAATGCTTTTGCCTGCTTTTCGTCCTCTTGCAACATCCTACAAATGCTACAGGGAAAATAAACTACAGCCTGTTTAAGGAAGGGGTAAAAGAGGGAACACACAGAAGAGGATAAGACAGACTGGCACTTAAGCCTCAAGGCTGAAGTAATGAAGGTAATGAACAGATTTTTATTATAAACACTCCCATGCTTTTAATAATTTGTGCCATATAGACTTCTTTCTCTCCCTGCCCTTTTCTTTCTTTCTTTCTTTCTTTCTTTCTTTCTTTCTTTCTTTCTTTCTTTCTTTCTTTCTTTCTTTCTTTCTTTCTTTCTTTCTTTTTTTCTTTCTTTCTGTTCTCTTTCTTCTTTCTTCTTGGTTTTTTGAGACAGGGTCTTGCTATACAGTGCAGGCAGAGCTCAAACTCACTATGTAGCCCAGGCTGGCCTCGAATTTGTGGTAAACCTCCAGCCTCAGCCTGGGATTATAGGCATGTGCCACCATGCCTAGCTTGCCCACATCATTTCTTAACTTTCTGATTTTCTAAATTTTCCCACCAATATATAACCCCCTCAACTGAAAATCAACATTGTCTTTGTTTTCACAAGTTGTTCTTAGTATCAAATTTCAATAATTGTAGTTTAATTAGTAAAATGAAGAAATAATATTCATTTAATGAATGTTTAATACAGGACCAGATAGTTTCCTTAATTTGGGATTTGTCATTGCACACAGTAGCATAGGGCTCATTTCAGACTTACAAGTCAAATAAAGCAGAGGCTTACTTCACACAATGCCAAGAGCCCACAGAAGAATGTGAGCAATACCATTAAAAGAAAACTTTGAGGACAATACTTCTGATATTCTGATTTGTTTGTCTTGTATTCCTTGATATATACTTGGTAATTATTATGGAGTGTGGATTTTTGTTGGAAAAGGATTATTGATTAATGAGGTAGCACCGTTGAGAGTAAACTTAACCAATAAAAATCTGTCAAAGTGTATTCCTGATGCCTCATTTTAGAAGCAGATAGCAAGAAAACAAGTTCAAAAGAATAATTGAGCCAGACTGTCTTTGTACTCATTGTATTATTTTATACCATGCTCCAAAGCCACAGCTCCTGAAAGAATACTCTTTCATTCACAAAGTGGTACAGTACCATGATAGTACAGAGCCCTCAAAGTTGAATGCTACAGACCATCTTTTATAAATTTTTTTCTCCCCACACTTCATCAGATTTGTTAATCTCATAGCCTAATTAACAGCTAATTCTCAATCTCATTTATAATCCAACTCACTTTTTCAAACAATGAATGACAACATATTAAAAACAGATAAGAGGCTTTCAACCAAATAAGTATGAAATAATAAAGGTCACAATTCCTCTTAAGGTTTGAACACTTGGGGGAAAATTATTGGGTGTGTGTGTGTGTGTGTGTGTACATGTGTGTGTACACGTTCATATATGCATAGGCCCAGTCCTTCTCTCCCTTACAGCTAAACTCTTGAATGACTTACAGTAGATGATGCATTGATTCCCATGATCCTTTTTAATGAGAGTCCTCTTCATGACTTACTTGCAACAAACATCTCAGCAACAGAGATTTTTAAATGAGCCCTCACATGACAAAGAGAAATAGAAATTCCTTTTCTCAACTGACTCTCATTTGTTTGAGTTCTAGATTTAGCTGCCTAGCAACAAGAGCCTTACAGTCTACCTACAGGACATGGCAACTGGCTAGCATTCCTTCCCATCCTGGCTCCATCTTCTCACCAAAACTTTATTTCTACTCCCTCAATATGAACAGATTTGACTTCCATTCAGTTTGCTCTAAAAACTGTTCAACATGAATAAATTTCCTTATTCTCATTCTCTATTTTCCTCATATACTATATGATCATTTTATTGTCTATATTTTTGCTCACATTTCGATCCTGGTCCTACTTTATTTTTTCAATAGCAAACCATATTATGGAATAGCTGAACTACTTCAAGATCCAGAAAAAAACTTTAAGCCCCTTTAAAGCATCCTCTAAATAATCCCAGACATTACTAACCATCTGTATAGACATTTAGATCTGCTGGTAAGTGCATTTTGACCATGTGGAAAATTATCACTTATAAGAGACAAAAACAATTTATATGAAGAGATAAATGAAATAAAAATAAAACACACATAAATTTCGTAGGTAAACTAACATGCTGGTAATTTAAAGAAATGCCAATCCAAGAACCTGCATTTAGCATGTTGGCTGAGGTAAACTTTGGAAACAAATGTGGTTATTTAATATCCTCAAGAATTTACCTGTAGGATAGGGAAGTGGTTGGTGGGACCCTCAAGTCTGAAACCAGCTGCCATCTTTCCACTGCTCCTTCACTTTAGGGAGACCAGCTTTTCCTTCATTGGACTTTTTGCCTTCTTCCTAGTTTTCATTGCAACTCATTCTTAAAGCACCAAATGTGACCTGATGTTTTAATTACTGTATTTGTTTTCTAGGGCTGTCATCATAAAATAACATGAGTAGCTTAACAGAAATTTATTGTTAGACTATTTTGGGGGGGTACGTTCCCAATATCATGGTATCCTCAAGACCATATTTCCTCTAAATTTGCTAAGAAGCAATTTATTTCAGGCTCCTCTGCAGGTGTTGGTCATTTTCTGGTTTATGGCAGCACAATTCTAATCTTTACCTGCTCTTTTCTGTGTCCAAAATTTTCCCCTTTTACTGGGATATCTACTTAAATTAGACAATATAGATAAGAAGTCACAAAATGTCATAAGTCACAAAGAAGATCATCATATAGTGATAAAGAGGTCAATTCAGCAGAAACATATATAGTAATGATAAGCACATGCGCACACTATGTTATAACATTTCAATACACAAAATAAACAGTGATAGAGGTGAAGGGAGAAATAGAGAGGAATATAATAATAGTAGGAGGCTGGGGATTTAGCTCAGTGGTTCTACTGCCTACCTTGCAAATGCAAGGTCCCAAGTTAGATACCCAGTACCAAAAAAAAAAAAAAAAAGTAGGATACATCAATATTCAGCTTTTAATAGTGGCTATAACATCCAGGCAGAAAGTTAATAAGGACAGAGCAGATTTGAACAATACTATAGATTATTTGAATCCCACAGATATATCCAGAACATATCATCCAGTAGCAGTAGAATAGATGTTTTTCAATCATGCACAGAACATTTTTCACGGCTGATCCCATGTTAAATCACATAACAAGTTATAACAATTTTAAGAAGACTGAAATTATATCAAGTATCACTTCTGACCAAAATGGAATGAAACCAGAGATCAATAACCAGAAGAAAACTGGAAAATTTTACCGATATGTTTAAAATTACACAACACACTCTTGAAAAACCAGTGGGTCAGATGAGAAAAAAGAAAAAATTTAAACTAGGTAGAGCAAACAGAAATGAAAATAGAATAGGGCCAGGGATTTAGCTCAGTGGTTCTGCCACCTGCCTCACAAAGCAAGGTGCATTTCTCCTCCAGTCTTTCTTATACTCATTTCTCAGGATTGATGGCTGTAATTTGAAATGTTTCACAAGAAAACAACTATTCCAAACTGAGATTACATACAATGAGCTGGAAATGTTTTTCTCCTTCTGCCTCCCCGCTCCTCTTTCCTGCTCCTTCTTGTCTCTCTCCTTCTTCCTCCTTCTCCTTCATTCTGTGCTCACCTCATTACACATTAATATAAACATGGAAGGTTTCTCTAACGCACTAAGGTGAAACTCTCTTGCTGAGGTCCCTAATTTCAAAGTCTGGGTTTGTTTTGAATTCTGAAAATCATAAAATCATGTTTTCCTCTTGACTGATTTGCAAAGCACAAATTTTCCGATCTTCTTAAATTAGTAACAATACATTTTTCCTTGTTACCTGTCAGCCTTCCTCACTTGCTCAGTGATAGACATATCATTTGACTTCAGTTGAGCCAAAGACAATGATAGTTTGACAATAGTTTATAATACCTGAATGTCTTAAACATATGAAGGGAAGTATATGTGGTTTTCTCCAAAGAAAAAGGGCAAATACCAGTTACTGTCAATCAATGTATCTCATCTTTTTTGTTCTTCTCTTTGGCAAAAGAATCAACAGCTTAAATTCTTTATATGACTTTGTGGACATACAAATAATACTAGCACTAACTCTAGAGTCAGTACATTAAGACTTAAAATTGAAGCAAGATGGCAGAATAGGAATTCTCTAGTTCTATTCCCTGCTCCATTCCCAGAAGTCCAGTTAGCAAATACCTACAGCTAAGAATATTATCATGAATATTTCATAACTTGAGAATGAGGTTGAGACAAACATCCCACTGGATTGCAGAATTGAAAACAGCAGGATACAAAGGATGTCCCAAACCGACACAGCGGTGCTTCAGAGGGTTCTCTGGGATCTTTAGGTTTTCTAGTGGGAAGAGAGATTTGGAGGTGAACATTCAACTTCCACACCACTCAAGGACACTTTTCAGGAGGCATTTCCTAGTCACAACCAATGAGGAACATTTGGGAGTATCAGCAGAGCTGATCACCTGAAGTCAATTATTAACAAACAGAAGGGAAGCTCACAGCAACCAGTGCATGGATGTTGGTTGATTTGCTTTCTAGCCACTGGGCATACACCACCAGAGAAGCTAGCTAGCAGCATCACTCTGAAAGAGGGATAGAACTTTAACCCCTATTTGACTTCCCCATCTAGCTTCAGTGTTCTCTTTGAAATCTTCCCAAGCTATGAGATAGAGGCAGACTGGTGATTATCTGCAAACAGAACATCTAATTTTGCCTGGTTCTAGCTTCCAAGCTTTCACTCAGCCAAAACCCATTGTACTCCTCAGCCCTTCTCCAGATTGAAAATCCGGAGCTCACTATGGAGGGAGAAATCAGGCCCATGGCCAAGTGCTTAATTCACAGTGTCTCAGTGCTCTGCTTAATGCTGCTGTAGGGTAGAAGCCAAGCCAAATTTTGTGTGTATCTGTGGAGCGTAATGTCTAGTCCTTCCCACAGCAAGTGGTTGATCGATCAGTGATATCAGATACCTTCCTCAACCCCAGAACTCAACATATGGCCCAACTACAGATCCCAAATTGTAATAGTGGATAGCCAGGGAAACCAAGTCACAGCACTACACAATCAGAGGCAACTACAAAACAGAGAAGAGCTCTATCTTACTAGATTTCAGCCAGACTACATAGCATGGGCAGCAGTTTTACTTGACCACAGTATACAATAATATTCGAGCACAGCTAGACTTTGGTGATCTTGAAGTCACCACAAACTAGCCCAATCAGAATCTCAAGCTGGAATAACTAGCAAAGATATACATCAACAAATAATACTAGAAAAGATTGGAAGGGGTGGTCATTTCCTTAATGTTCAGGCGCACAAAGATTTTTTAAATTCAGGGAAATAAGAAAAAATTGTCTAAAAATGAACCCCGCAGAAGTGCAGATCTATGAAGTGACTGACAAAGAATTCAGAATAATCTTCAAGTAGTTAGAGAACTACAAGAAAATAATGAAAGGAAATTAAATAAAATTTGGGAAACAATTAATGAACAAAATGAGAAGTTTGACAAAGAAATAGAAACAATTCTTTTAAAAATCCAAATAGAAATTGTAGAGATAAGGAATACAACAACTAAACTAAAAAATGTTATAGGAAGCCCAGTAGTGGAATTAAAATGCAGAAGAATAACTCAAAGATAGAAAGTTTGGAAATATCCATTCAGAGAAAAAAATTAAAAAGAATAAAATTTCCAATGGGAATTATAAGATGCCATTAAGAAGACTAATCTATGAATAATAACATTTTTTGAAAGAAAGGAGAGGTAAAAATTCCTAGAAAACATATTTTTTGTTTTTGTTTTTTGCCAGCATCAGACTCATTTATTTTACAAGGCTTTAACAAGTTAATTATCTTAAACATAGATGAATAGCAAGAGCAACAGGCCAAAAACACATATAATAAGTAAGACAATTATAGCAAATTAAGATACACTTTTAGATACATTGGCCATACTAGGCTACAATAACTTTTCCCCCAGAAAAATGTAATTATTTAATGTAATTATGTGGCAGATTTCCCAGATCTGGAGCTCTAGAGATGGCAGCATCCAGGAATATAAATCTCAGAAATCTCCAATCAAATTCAGTTCAAACAGATATTCACCAAACACATCATGATCAAACTATCAAAAATCAAAGATTGTAAAAGAGCACTAAAAGTAGCAAGAGATAAGAAACAACACATTCAAGAACATCATAATCAAGGGACAGTGTCATTGCTCTCAAAATGAGGCTGTCAGGTGTCCTGGGGATCAAGGTTGATGTTGGCAGGAGAGTAGTGCCTGTCTCAAACATGCTTCACATTAGACAAATACAAGATTTCAATACTTAGCACAATATGTCCTTAATCTTGTTAGTAGAAATGTAGATGGAAAAATAGTAATACAATGATTAGATGTTTGTCAAAACCATCTGTCAATAAGATAAAACATGTCACGAGCTCATAAAAATATAGAAGGTGAATACATGGGGTACACTGTTTAAAAAAACCAAAAAAATTGACAATATCTATCTCCAATATACTGCTTGATTCCTCTTTTAAGGAATAAGCCGACATCTTTATGGTGAAGCTTAAG